GGAATTCCCATTGGCATACGATGGTCGGACGCCTCCTCAGAGCTGACGGTAAGGGGTTCTCCATCGGGTTTTTGAGTATTATGATTCCTGATGTCAGATTTGTGTCCATTAATTCTTTTGCATAGAGACTGTCCGGTTTGGCCAATGTACATGGCAGAGGGGCATTGCTGGCACATGATGGCATATCTCACCAGTGGGAGAACACTATATGCTGTATCGTATTTCAATGACAGACCTGCGGGTGGCTATCTTACAAGAGAAAAACTTCAAAAACAGACTCCAACGAGAGACTTCTGAGCTGGAATTGATATGCAAACTAGATACAATCAATTTAGGACTGAATAAGGACTGGGAATGGCTGAGCAATTACAAACATTGAATCTATCTCCCCTTGTAAGTATTCTCACACTTCTTATCAAACTGTCTGTACTGGGCTAGCTTGATTATCACTTCAAAAGTTTTTTTTCTCTTACTTAATTGGCCTCTCAGAGTTGGTAAGACAACTCCCACCTGTTCATGCTCTCTGTATGTGTGTATATATATCTCCTCAATATATGTTCCATTCTATATGCATCCAAAGAAGTGGGCTGTAGCCCACGAAAGCTTATGCTCTAATAAATTTGTTAGTTTCTAAGGTGCCACAAGTACTCCTGTTCTTTTAACTCTAATCTAATTCATTTCACCAATCTCTTAATTTCTAATGGACTCATCACCATGGTATCAAACACCAACGCTGAGGCAGGATGGGCTGCCTGGTGATGGGTTTTGTTTTGTTTATGTCGATATCCCAAATGCTGTTTCAGCTCCCAGTTATCTCAGCTTGGAATTTGCCATAACAGATCAGAAAACTGGTCCACCTAGTCTGACTTCCTGTCAACAGCCAATACCAAATACTTTATAGAGCAAAATGAAGCTGCCATTGCTGGCAAAATCTGAAAGCCATAACTAGAGATGTTTGGGGTGAAAAATACAGATACACCTTTGAATTCGGGTTATAGTTTTATCTGTTTACTCAGGTTTTTGCTGGATGGGAGGGGTTTAATTCTAGCTTGATATAGAGCATTTTTCATGTTGACAATGTCCTATTTTTAGGACCTGTGTGCAGTTTGATATTTTGTAGGTGTGCCTAGAAGTGGGAGTTGAAAAATAAACTCTATAGAAGTGCTCTGGACTTGGAGAGTTTTGGGGAGGGAGAGAGTGGGAAATGCTAGCTACTTTGCTGTTAGGAAAGCAGCTGTGGGTCCTACACTGGGACAGTTGGCAGGTATCCTTTTCAATGTACCTGAGCAATTATATAGTGTTGTTTGGAGGCAGAAGGGCTAATCTTCCTGATGCCCATACACCATTAGCTGAAGTAGGAGATTTGAAAGTGCCTCATGTAGCTTGCATAACTCCAAATGTTGTTATTGGTCATAAAATTATCCTATCCCCTATTTAGTGCCAGCTACAATATTTAACTCTCTGACCTGCTCCAGGACTCAGTGAATTCCACAGGCTGACTACATGCTGAGAGAAGAAGTATTTATTTTTATTCTGTTAACTTCATCTAGTGAGCTCTTGTTCTCGTGTTATGGGACAGGCTAAAAAAAGAGGAGACTAATCAGTTCTCACTAGAGCCTTCATAATCTTAAATACCTCCTCCATTGCAGGCTAAAGGATCGTAAGTTTTGAATTCTTTTCTCAAATGGAAAGCGTCTAAATGTGATGCACTATAAAAATTCTAGTTGGCAGTGAGCAGCCATTTGGGCACAGAATGCCTACAAAATAAAACCAAATGAAAACAATATACATGTACGTTAGAATTCTTGGCTATCACTGTAATAGCATACAGTAGTTCTTTCAGATAAAGATTCATGCAGCAGCTGTGGGATTGCCCCAGAGTGTGCAGTCCTTATACCTGCAGGGGCCTCCAGGGCTGTAGCTGATGGACTTCAGAGTGGACACCTGCATATCATTAGTCAGAGCAAAGAACCAAAGGGTACTGTCAAAAGTGCCTTTAATTAAAGAGTGTATACACTATCTTTCCCTCACTCTTCTTTTTTTTCTCTTTCATCTCCTGCTTCCTTTGCTCTGCCTTAAAGGCTATTTTACACACTGGCCCTCCAAGGACCCTTCTACTTCCTCACCTACATGATCCATAATGCTCTCTTTCCTTTGCCAGTATCATCCAGGAGGTTTCCTGGTGACAAGTATGCAGGAACCTATGAATATTTGCCTAAGTTTTGTAAAGTCTGGTTTAGCAAAATCCCCATGAGGTGCCATTAGGAGAATCTCAGGCAAACATTCTGTCTTGTGGGATTTTGCAGAGACGCGGATGATATCCTGCCCTTGCCTGGTTCAGAAACAAACACGTTAATTTTAGTTTTGAAATTCAAACCATCTCTCTCTTCTCAGTTGCTCACATACTATCTCCCTTGACTGAAGTGATCCTTAACAGCTCTTCAGTCACACTAGAGATGGACTCAAGCTGCAAGGTTCAAATTGGAATGCAGAGCCAAACTTTTCTGAATGTCAGGAGTATCTGGATCCAGGGGGTTGTTTTGTCCTGTTAGGAGGCTGGGTTCATGCACAAAACTCAGATACAAATCTGAATTTTTCCCAAGTGTGGTAGATTCATATGCAGGGGTTTTGGCTTGTCTTTAGTTTCTATTTCTTGACCTGTTTCCCTTTACACTTGTTCTGGTTTGTATACCTCTCTGCCTTCACCCTTTCTACCTTGTTTTGGGAAAGCTCAGCCCTCTCTCTTTCCTGGTCAAACAGAAGCATCCGTAGCAATATCCAGCTTCACTAGGGTTACCATACGTCCGGATTTTCCCGGACATGTCCGGCTTTTGGGGGCTCAAATCCCCGT